GCTACCGTCGTTTCCTCTCTATTACATGCCTCAAACATCTCCCTGTACGTCCCGTCTATTTTTCCCAGCTCAGTCACGTACACTTCCCTCTCCTTCTTGTACAACGGACATTCCGCGACTACATGAACACGGTCTTCGCATTCGAAGCCGCAATCACATTTGAACTCGTCGTCTTCCTCGTCTACCGTCCTATGTCTTCGTCGACGTTCTCGAAGGCCTATGTCCCCGGTCCTGAATTTGACCTTAAGCTTTGTTCCTGCATCCATTGGGTTTGGCATGGTAATCCTTGAACCTATTCCTTCCTTCAACATTCCGTACACTTCTAGACCCTCCTTATCCTTGGATTCTTTCCTCAGATTCTGTTCTTCTCTCTCGGCACAAGCAACAGATATCTTCTCCTTGAACCCCTGTAGACCCTCCGTTTCCAGCGTTTCATCTTCGTCGATGTCGAGCCCCTTCCATACGTCCTCTACAACCTTGACCCATTCCGTGGGTTGTCTACCCCTCTTTTTGTTTGCCCACTTCGCCTCCCATACAATTCTCGGCAACCTCTCCTCTCCCATCCCGCACATGCGATACTGCCATGTCAGCTTCCTCGCGTCTCTTCCCGACCGTAGGGAGGGGGGTGAGTAGGGGGTGATTCAAGTTCTGTGCGAGGGAGTATGTTGCCGTTGTATCCTGAGGTCGATGGAAGGCGTGAGTTTCAAGTGTTGGTGGCGGTTTTGCAGCCATAGCGCTCCTGAACAGGCGCCAGACACGTTGCTCGGCTTACGCATGACCGGTGCTATTGTGTTGCCTGTGTTCTGGCGTGGCCTGCTGTTGTACTACAATCTGTACGACACGACGCCAATCGTAGCCCATGGGCTTGCGGAAGCAAATACGATTACAAAGCTCTTTTTTTTCCCGCATGCATATGGCAGAGATCCCTGTATAGTGCCGGTGTTGTGCCCACTATACAAAGTTCACCGCCACGACCTCGGGACGGCACAATTCACAGTATTGAGAATGGCATGGAAGCTCAGTGTGTGCTCGCCGACAACACCGGCACTGTACTATCCTGGACACCTGCACTATGCAACCGGCATTCATCAGGGACCTACCTCTTCTGAATATGCGAGGAGAGAGTTGGCCGTGTTCTGTCGCTCTCGCACGACGGATAAATCGTGTTTTGTCGTGCTTCGAAGTATTTTTTGTATTGGGCTGGCGTGACGGTTGTGACCAAACCACTAGCCCGACATTTTGGCATCCCAAATCGCTTGTAGTACCAGGTACCCCCGGTAAAAACGCACGCGTCCTTGCCGCCTGCCGATCACCTCGCCGACGCGCTGATTGGTCTCCCCTTGCTCTCTGCTGTTCTCTTGTCTGTCTGTTGTTGCGCGCTCAGGTTGTCGGAGACGTCGTGTGCGACGAGGTGATGGTGGTTAACGAGGGCAAGGTGTTCGGAGACATTTCCTCTGCCCGGGTCACCGTTGGGCCTCAGGTACAGCATGTGTGACTTCCTTGTCCGGGAGTTGTCCACGTCTGTGTGTTTGCGCCGGTGGCTTCTTGTGTGCACGTTCTGTTCCTATGGAGAAGGAAGTGTTTACGAATGCAAAGCGTGTGTTAGGGCTGTTGATGTACGTTTGTCTGCACAAGGATGAGTGCACGGGTTTAGGGAGTCTGTGGGTGCCGTATTTTGACTATGTATCTCTCAAACCCCCCGGGTCGGATGTTCAAAGCACGACTGCTGCACACTACTAAACAGGTGCCAATGCCGAGCGATACGCGTTCAGAAAGCTCTAGGTAGCAGCTTTGTTCAACACGGCCCGTGTCGGCAATGCCATTTATTGTGCTGTACCGTGAAGCCCAGCACACGAGGTTTGAAGCTCGCCCAGTGGCGTAGGTGTGTAGTATTCACCGCCAAACAATAGCACGTGCGTGTTACGTGTTACATCAACACCTGAAACACGACCCCCCCTCCTGCCCGCGATTACTGCCGTTTGTTTCTGATAAATGGCCGGTCCGTCAAACCTTGTGTCCAATCGAAATTGATACTTTGCAGTCGACGATACGGGGAAGACTCACCGTCGTCGAGGACATGGACGAGCTCGCTCAACTGCTGTTGAGCGAAGAAGGCAAGCAAGAAGAAGCACCCAAGGAGGAGGAAGAACCACCCAAGATGGAAGAAGAGAGCACCGCCGAGGATTCCAGCGAAGTCGCTGCTTCTGCTGCTGCTGGTGATGCTCCGGAGGACACAGCCGTGTCGGGAAAAGACGACGGCCTCGTCGAGGGCGCGAGTCGCGGCGTCACTACTTCTGATGCCACTGGCACCGCTGCAGGCGATGCTGACGCGGCCGCGGGTGATGATAAGGAGGCGGAGCCCGAGGCGGAGACGGAGTCGGACGAGGGTCAGGAGGATCAGGAGTATGCTGACAAGGAGGACGACTTGGAAGACGCGGCAGGCGTTGTTGCTATTGCTACGGCCGACGCTGCCGGCAAGGCGGTGGAAGGGGGCGAGGTGGACACAGCTACGGCTGGCGTCGAGGAGGCCATGGTCGTCTCGGTGATGGAGCAGCACCCCAAGGACGGCGAGGGGGACGCTTGCACGCTGGTCACTCCGGAGGACTCCAAGGAAGACTTCGAGGACGCTATGGATGACCTGGCCGGGCTAAGCTTCGCGTGAGCGACATCAACAGGAAAGTATCACCGGCATTTTTTTTGTGTCCTCTTGTGGTACAACCAGCCGTGACTAGTGGTAGGCGCTTCCCGTAGGGGCACGGGTGCGTTGTTGTCGTGCGGGGCGAGAGAGGTCCGGAGGGGGTGCGACCGACGTGCTGTTTCTGCCGGCTGTGGTTTGAAGAGTTGGGGCCTTTTGCATGTCGATCTGCAACAAGGCTTTCTACCTGCCCGGCACCCCCGTCCCCCCCCGTCCCCCCCAGCGTCGGATATTTTAGAGCACTTGTCGAAGTTTTGGTTTATTCGCTCGTTGCGCTGGAATCTGTTTGCAGGACGTTATTTTTTACACGGGTATCGCGGGTGATTAAGGCAACACGGTGACCAAATCTGTTGTACGCACCGTGCCAGACGTAAGGCGGGGATGTCGTCCCCCGCCGCAGTAATAGTTCGTTTCAGAACCACATGTGTTGTTGTATTGGCTTTCGTCAGACCCTGTAGTAGTAAATAGTGTACAGAGTTGGAGTGTGTAAAGCACACCCAACTCGATGTAACAACATTTTTTCCGGGAGTTTGCGTGCGATGCTGAATCTCTATGCTACTCCCATAGAAGAAAGATATCTCCCCCCACCATCCCAAGGGTTTTCGTATGGCAATTCGAGGCGTGTGTTCCGATTGAGCGTATCGCGAGCCCCTTGTGAGGGTAAGGTCGTTGGGATAGAGATTACTCAGGTTGTTGCGGTAGGCAGTATTTGAATCGTCGTTTGGTAAAGAGATTTGTTGGCCCTTGGTCGTTGTTTGTTGGGATGCTGTACGGTAGTAGATGGGCAGTTGGCTATCGGGTAGGAGGGTGCCCGTCCCTGATCAGTGTCCAGCCTGGTATGTACACGAACATGCTACCTATAGCGTTTTCGTTGTTTCTTCTGTTTGTTGTCGGGAGTTTGGTGGGCGTTTGTTAATCCTGGTGCCTTTTGAGAGCGCGGCGAGAGTTCATCAGGCCGGGAGTTTTCCCTGCATCAATGCAGGTTGTGTTGTCCTGCTGCTGAGACAGCAGTAACTTGATGTCTTAGCAGTCACTTGCAGCGATGTTTGTTCTTGCCGCCTCTGAGGGCGGGAGGGATTTTGACTGCTGGTCAGGGAGGGTTGTAGGCGTGGTTGCAGAGAGTTTTCGATGTTTCCGAAGGGAGATGCATGTTACTTGACTTGCCTTGTCTGCGTTGCTTGTTTATAGTTTCGGCCGCTCCTGTCTTCCGTCTTGTGTTGTATCAGTCAGTCGGGACGTAGTTTTTGTGCCTCCCGATTGTAGACTAAAGTAGGTGATGGTGGGTGCTTGCATAAGAAAACGCACGGTAGGTGCGATGATTCGCAAAAGTCGATGTGTTTGTGTTTGCGATACGCGTGCTTCCTTGGGCATGTTTATATATAACTGTGTCAAAAGAAGTTCGAATCTTTCGGCAGTACGAAAGGGACGGGGTAAGAAGCTTAGACAAAATTGTCCCGACGAAGTCACCGCCGCCGTCTTGCTGTTTTTCCTGATGTCTTGGTCCTCGTGTCGTTGTCGATCAGCGTGTGGGGTTTTTCTTGTCTCCTCTGTCTCTGTCTTCGTCTGTTGTCCGTAGATCAACATACATAGGCAGGCGTTTCCCTCGTTGCGCTCTGTACCATGGTATTGTCCCGCAGAGTGAAAATGTTGTCGTGATGTGCACCCTAGTTGGAGTTTGGCTTGCTCGTCCGCTTGCTTGTTGTCGTTGTTTCTTTCATTCGGTCGTTTTTTCTCCTCAGCACAAGATGATCATGTTTGCCGTGTAAAGTACGCCAGATACACCCTTGATTAGTGTGGAGGAGCGCCTGCAGTGCTACACGAAAGGCGAGCAAACGCTGTTTGTTGTGTGGGGCTCTTAGGGTTAGGGGTGGTCATGTATGTTCGAGTTGTTCTCGAGGCCCGATCCGATTACAACCGTTTCGTCGCGATACGACGTTCTCGGTCCTTTTTCCCCGCCGTCGCTCTCGATCGCGAGATGGCACCGAGCGCGTGTCGAAGTATAGACTACGATACGAGCGGGTGCGTTGCAATGACGTGACGGGGAGGTTGTTCGGAGGGAGAAACAGGAGCTGTAGGATCATAGTTTGGTAATTGTAGATGAAATTGGTAGTTGAGCGCCCGCGTGCTGATAAATCGATCGGTTCGTACGTAAATCTGTGTTCCGTGGCCCAATTTTGTGCAACAAGAACAACAGCAGCACATCTGAGGGAAGATCGATGCTGTGTTTTGTGAACGCGGTGTACTAGTAAAGGCCATGATGAGCTTAATCTGGTCGACGCCTTGTCCCCGTACGGGTGTTGCCATGTGCAGTGGTCGAACTCCCGGCGTACTAGCTCGTTCTTCGGTTTTCCACAAGGCTTTTTGAAGGTGCCCCAAGCTATGGGTGGTACTTCTGTGTACTTGCGAAGCATCCACTTACGTATTTTTAGGTAACACATGATGCGGGTGGTCCCCTGCGAAATACCGCACGAGCGATAAATATACCGCGACGGGCCGCCCACTGTCCTTTTATCACCAGGGACGTGTGGCACATAATCATCACGTTATTGGCACAGTGTGCGGGAGGAGGTGTCAGCGTCGCTTTGGGCTGTCCCGCTCGAGTTGAATGCCCTTAATCGTGCCCCCGCTTGAAGTCCGTTCCGCAGGAAAGCATGAGCGTGCATGCGATGAGAGAGCCTTCCCCCCCAAAACAAGATTGATGGTGCATTCGCTTGGTCGGGCGCAACGATTCACGGTGACCCACCCCCACCCCCCTCCCGCAGCTGTTGTGCATTCCCTGCATAGGCTCGAAAAAAGCCACGGAGGATAACTTCAAAACAGACCAAACACGCCGTGTGGAGCGCGCCCACCCGTTAGGCTGCGTACGAGCGACGGGGGATCGCTTACCTTCTTTTGGGCCGTCATGTGAACTAGTCCGTGTAGATTAGCAACTGACTGATGATTCACACCATCAGGACTGACTCTATTCCGAATAAAGGGGCAAAACGGGCTTCATTGAGTGTCCTTTGGCGTCGAAGACTCTTCTAATCGCGAGTCCGACAGATGATGCATGTCTATCGAAATCCTCACGACGGCCGTTGGAAAAAACGCACGAAATCCTTTTCGTTTGCACGTACAGAAGATAAACGAGGGAGTCGCTAACGAACACCCAACATGTTGGGCCTCCCCCCGGTGTGCGTCCCTCCCCGTCGATCGGGACCGCCTTGGCGAGATACAAAGTTGATGGAGGAAATACCACAGGGAGAGGGGTACGCAGACCCTATCCCTAACCCAACGTCGCAGACCCTGTCATGCATGCTTACTTACCCAACATCTTTACTACTAAATCGATATCGGTGCGAAGGGTACTGGCTGGTGGATCGAGACGCACCTACTTGTGTGTTCCAACTGGTACTCGAGACACCTAGATGCCGTAGTATCACCACGTGCGGATGGATGCTCGTGTTCCACATGATCCGCCATTGTGCTGACACACCAAGTACAAACCACCCTGCCGTGGCAACTCCGTACCCAAGCAGGGGAATAACTATCTCTGCAAACATCAGAAACCACCCTCTTCTATCTGTATGCATGCATCCTGTGATTCAATGGGCGCACGTAACTCGAGACAAACAACGTAACGCCCAAGGGTGCGTGGTCATACCTCCGACTGGCATCTCATTCATCATGTCGATCATTTTTTTATCCGTGCGGAGTGCTCCACAACTCCACAGCAGTGCCTGGCCTCTAATTCATTCACCGTCACCTCCGGCAAAATTTCAGCACAACCACCGTTCGTTGTTGTCTTGACATCTAAAATAGTTCCCATCTCTCTGCTCAGTACCTTCCGTATTGGTCCGACTGACGAGGACGCCTCCCATGGGCACGGGTTACACGCTTCAAATGTTAATATTTTATGTTTTAGACCACTATTCAGACTAGTTTCCATTTCTGAGGAAGAACAAAACAAGAGACGTACATAGGTACAAGGACTACACTCGCGTGACCAACGGCCGCGACAAAGGAGGCGACGCGACGATAGCCTTCGCTCAAGACTTCGACGTTGGAAACAACAACAACAACCCGACACACAAAAAGAGCGAGGAGGGTGAAAACACACAAGCAAAATTATTGGCGCGGCCGAGGCTAAAACCATCGCACCGGTCCCAGGGCAGTCAATCCAACCAAGACAAAAATAACATTGAGCTTGTGATTTCGCTATCCCAGAACTACGAAAGCGACAAGTTGACTGATACCTGGCAAGCACGAACCACAAAACCAACGAGGATCCAGACGTGACAACACCGTCCTCACAAGCGACGAGAAAAAAAGAAAACCGACACCGGGTGAACGGCTGCAGCAGTATCACATTGACATCATCGCCAAGCGACGGAGGGGGGAGGCCCTGTCACACACAAAACCTCAGGCGGTGTCACATTTCGAGCTTGGAGATGTCGCCGCGAGCTGCTGCAGTACACGAGTTGACGAGGGAGCTACAGCAGATACACGCCAAACGTTCTCAGGAGAGGTTTCCGTCCAGCTTGGTGACGAAGAAGTCCTGCTGCTCTTTCGAGGCGGTAGCGATGATGCCGTTCTTGAACAGAGCCTGGGAGTGCGTACTGTGTTGTTGTCGTCGTCGATGTTACGGTTGTTGGTGTCGTTGGTCGCCGGTGCCCGAGTCACCACAAAGCCGTGCCAGCGCACGGCAGCAGACAAGAAGGCCAACAGACAACCGCGACCGCGGGTGGGGAGTAGAGGGTGAGCAAGAGCAAGTTGTCGGGGGAGAGGTGTGTGTGTGTGCGTTTGCAGGCCAATCCCAAACGAATACTCTGTGACAACGGACAACATGAAGGTAACCATTGCGACGTTCTTCTCTGGCCATTTGCCCAGAATGGCGTGAAGCGCTGGCAGCACATCGATAAGGGTAACCTATACAACGTGATGGCAAGGCGTAGGATTGTTTTCATCCGGAAACACTGGAACCACGATACCGACATCACCACCATCAACAACTATTATACATAACATCCGGACATCAGTAGAAACAGAAGCAGCGTCATGGTTGAGACAATCACAACAACGGGTCCTGTCGTGTCGAACCTGTCATATTCCATGGGATATGCCAGTTGCTTCCCCTCAATATCGCTGAACCCCCCGCCGCTGGCCTTCATCACCGCCTCTGCCGCACACACGTCCCATGACTTTGGTCCAAGCAACAAGTTCCAGCCACAGTTCGAAGCACGTGTTCCCAAGAAAGCACGAAACAACGGGAAAAGGAATGCGAATCGGCTGTGATCGATCGGGCGGCCTGGGCGAAAGCAGGCGGGCGTAGAGAAGACAACCTGAGTGCGAAAAACTAGATACGAGAGAACGCCATCGCACTGCACACGAAACCACAAAACACATCACATCACATCACCATCCCTTGCAACCGATGGCGGCTCCTCGCCCCCCCCCCGTTCCCGCTTCTTTCTCTCATCTCATCTCAACGACCCTGTCGTGAACATGCTGTCCATCGAGAACAGCGAAAAGCTTCCGACGCCTTCTCTTCACAACCCACCTTGATAGCCGTTACGTGAACGTACGCCTCCGCCTTCCCGTCCAAAACCAAGAGCGATTTGTACCCCGCCCCCCCTGCCAGCAGCGTCTGGTGCCCCTCCAAGTACTTCTCAACCACGTTACCCCCCTCCCCCGTGTGGGAGCGGGAAATGGTCACCGTATGCGCAGCTTCACCAACCGGGTCCTGACAAGCGCGTCGGTCGGGGCGAAAGGGTATTACGTTCTTTCAGCTTCGCAACAAAAACGATGTCTGGGGTGTGTAAGTAGAATCGAACAGGTTGGCTCCTTCTGGTTTGCGTCAACAGCCGTAACATCCCGAAGATTCCGCCCAAAACAAAGCTGCCGTACTGCTGCAGTCTAGAAAATGACCACCTGCTTGACTCTGTTGAAGAGCACACCCTGGTCCCCAGGCTGGAGCGGAATCACGCCCACAACTGGCGGCTTGTCTGCTTCGAACACCTGGACGACAAAGGGTGGTGGATGGTGGGATTCAGACGGAACAAACGTGGAACGGATTCGAAAAAAATCGTTGTTACGCGGGGTACCTACACCCGCAGCAGCAACAGATCGGGACAAAACACTGCGTTCGACAACCAACACGAATCAGAGCGATCGATAGGATCGAGCCTTACTCTTGTTGGCATGTCCTCTGGGGGAACCAAACTAAACCACAACACGTGTGTGAGCCCAAGCCTATTAAAGCAGCGACACAGCGTGACCAGTACAAACGCACACGACGAACATACCACCAGGAACACCGGCAACCACTTCAGCATGGCCTGCATCAACAGCCATCGGCTCCACGCCACTGTCAGCAACACCGACCAGGACCAACAGAATCGATGCAACGAGCAACTTAATGGTACAATATAGCTGTGTTGCGCCTTAGCAACTCACCTGGTTGATGATTCCTGCGATGGGTTCTCCCTGGTACACGACGCACACCATCGTCGTGACATACTCCAACAGGTCCTCGCCGAATTCCTGTCAAGCGCCAACAACAGCAACAATGACACCGTCAGTCAGCCAACGCCCGCCACCAGTGCTTGTGATCAGTATCATCGCTCTTCATGAGCGTTGCCAGCAGACAGTGTTCTTTCTTTTGCGCTACTCTCAACCTCCTCGCCAACACTTAAAAGTTACTGCCCGTCCTGGGTACTTCGGGCGCCAGCGTGATGACACAGAACTCCAAGAGGATTTCGACCACACCCTATTGGGGGGCGAGATAGCGCATTTTCAATTACAACACGCAGGCACTGACATCAGTAATCAGCTTGCTCAGTGTACCGATGTCTAGACTCTCACTCCCGACACCACCATTACAAAACCAAGTGGTTTTAACCATGATCGGCAAACCTCGTCCCGTGCGCCCTCCACCAATCACCCCGCTCGGGCACGTCAAAATCGACGTCCTATTTGCTGCGACGGCCTTGTCGACAAAGCTACAAACAGAATCACGACATGCAAACACGTACGTTACGTGCGTGACACACACGGAGCTGATGATGACTGCCGCGCCCACGATAGGATTTGAGGGGGAAATACAATGCAAACACACACCACACGTTGTACTAAAGCGCGGCATCGACGGCGCAGCGATATCGCCTCACAAACCGTACACACCGTATTTATGTACCTTGGTGGCGTCTAGGGGATCGACAATGACCAGAACCTCCGACAGATCCAGGCTGGGGTTCGACTCCAGCTGCGGCACGGTCAGGAACCGTTGGGGGCAAGGTGAGGATGAGGCATTACTATCAGCAACAGACATGGCACCACAGCACACAAGCGAATTGGCATTCCACACGAACACAGCACCGTGGTACGCCGAGGCAGCAGCAGCAGCAGCAGCAGCGGTAGTAGTAGGTCCACGCTACGCGAACGAATATAGAGAGATCGCGACGCCGGCGTCGCAGCAATCGCAAGCGACGGGGACAAGAGACGCATGACAAATGACCGACCATGCCAAAACTTGTAAATACGTTACGTGCTACAGCCGCCTGCCCATCCTGACCGTGAGTCCTGCGGGGAGAGCTGGGTTGAAAAGCTTGGTGTCAGCCATCTCGGGCTCAGTCTCTTCAGAGAGCATCTGGACCCCTGGAAAGAAGTGTCTGTATCCGTTCACGAACACCTGTGCATGATTCAACAAAACGATGATTTAAGAATACTGCTGTAGCTCTCAAGACCGACAAGACTCCAGAAGAAGAAACGTACGTAGGGTTTGTGTGTGCACACGGACGACCACATGACGTAAAGTACGACTTTTCAACACAACTCGGCACGTCCAAGGCGCCCCAAACATGCTCAGCAAGCACCCAAAAAGAACAGCAAGCACCCAAAGTATTGCAGCCCGGACGGCATCAACACTGCACTGTCAGTTTAGTAGTCTTCAAGATGTCTCAAACAGGGTTTATCAGCCATTGTTGGAGCTGGCATAAGCCACCATTTGTCCTTTGTGAGCTCTGTGTCGACAAATCCAGCCCGGGCGTCATCAACACTGTACAGTCAGTAAAGCAGTCTTTGTTTCATCAGCCATCGATGCAAACCGGCCTTACGCTGTTGGAGTTGGTGTCTGGCATCAACATTGCAGGGTCAATACAGCACAGCAGTAGGCTTAAAGCTCGCGACGCTCGGTCCAAACTTACGCTGTTGGAGTTGGTGTCAGCCACCGTGACCGGCTCTTCCACTCCTTCCTTTGTGAGACCCTTTACCCTCAGCTCTTCCGCCCCTGCGGCCTTGACGTCTTTGATTTCCTGTGCACGTCACACAGGGTGGCCATTATCATCACCATGACCAAAACAACAGACACAGCAGAGAGAGACAAGAATGCAGTAAGTAGAAGGGGCTTCGGCTGCTTCCGCCTCCGCGCTTCAATTAAAGCGCTTCCAAGATACATGAAACACACAGGAAAGGCTACAATACCCGTTCGAGATACAACCACAGTCGAAAAGGATGGGTTGAAGTCTTTACAGCAGTAAGTGGAGGGAAACTGGCCGGAAACTAGACATATTTCCAGTTGCTACCGCGCGAAAAATGAATGATTGATGGTGTGCTTGTGACGTGGGCGTGGTATGCTATGTGACGGGTCTTTTCGACTTTGCCGACAACGGTGTTTGGCACTGGGAGTTGGCAATTGCCCGATCCATTCCATGCATGCATGAGTCGCGGCATTTAACCGATGCACACGAGACGACAGTAGTAGTTTCTCGCGTGAAATAAGACAGATCGCAGGAAACACAATACGCGCGCGCTAATCTCGCAGAGAAACCGAAGAACAATGCATCCACTGGCTGTCTAACCGAGACTAAGGGAGGAAGGTAGCTACAGTGCCGGCCCACTCGTAAGAAACACCTTTTTCAGCTGAGGCTCAATTCTTATTGCCGCAGCCATAATGAGCTGAATTTCCTACGTCGGCATTTCCTATTTTTTCCCGACGAGAATTGCACGATTTCTTATTTTCGCCATTTCCTATCTTTTCGCCACCATGCAATTGCACGATTTTTTAGCATCCCTATTTCCTTTTCCAGCCACGAAGCTTTGCACTACCCGCGGGGTACATGCTTGCACGACACCCGGCGGTACTGAACTGAAAAAAAAGAAGCGCAAAGTCATTGTGCTAATGTGCGTGCGGACAAAATCCTCGGTAAATCCCTAACGCCCTTCGAAATCGATTGGTGAAGTTGTCACAACTTGGCCTGCTCTTTCCCGGTTGGTCAGTGCTGCGAACGTTCGGGGTTCGCGCCCTACTGTCCTGCCGGCGTGGCTGTTCACCCTCACACCCCCCCGCCGGCTCATTCGAATCGTCGATCGGCTCGACCAACGCCCACGCTCCTACGGCTGCGTTCGCCTCGTGTACATCGTACGCATCTAGAGGCATCTTCACACTGATGGTGCTTTGATCGTACGCCAAAACCACGCGGTAGTCGTACGTGTGGCTAGTTTGCGGGGGCGCTGCCCGGCTGATCTGCCCCAAGAACCACCTCATACCACTCCTCAAGAACACGCGACGCTTAATCAATGCGCGATCCAGCTTTTCTGGAGGAGACTCTTGAAGACGAAATCCGACCGGAAGCTCCATCGCGATGATGTCATCGTCGGAGTCGACGTCATCGTCGCTGTCTAGCTGTGACAGGGGGTCTTGAACATCGCCGTGGTCATCACCTAGCAAATGAAGCGATGTGCAAAAAATTGTCGAGAAAAAGCCGGCGTGAGCCACGCGCGTTTGAATAAATTCACAGCCCCCCACCAGTGGATGCAAAACGACGGGCAAAGGCGAAATACAAACCGGACCTAGACTCGAAAACTTACCATCATCATCTGCGCTTGCGTCGCTGTCGCAGCTTGATTCGCCACCGCCCGCCCCCCCATCGTCGTCGCCGACCTCATCATCTTGGTCGGACATCTCCTCGTCACTGCTCGTGCCTCCGTCCATGAAGTTGTACTCCCCAACTACACCCTCCGGAGTGATGCGGTCGTCCAACGACCCCTCTGCCGTCATCGCCAGTCCAGTCTTCTCGAACAGGCGATGGCGGTACACAGGCCGAGCGTCCATTCGCGCGACCGCCCTTGCAATGAATCGCGTGACAAGGATTCGCCTTGCACCAACTGAAAGCTTGTTGGTCTCCCACAGGCACAGGTTTTCCTCGTTCCCAATAAATTAATCCAGCTCGTTACCGACTTCGACTTTGAGGAGGCGTCCATAGCCAGCATCGACCGGTTGGAGTTTGTCGGTCAACTTGGGGGGAAGTGGCCGCAGCAGCGAGAAAGTTCGTGGTGGAAATGTATCCGGACGACCCGCGTGCAAGGAACTTTTCAGCGTCGGACCGGTGGTGCAGGGAGTTCGCGAAGCGCCACCATCTCTCGAAACGAAGGCGCGCAAACATCAAGAACAAGTCGGTGGAGGACCGTCTTCCGCAGATGAAGAGCTTCCCCTCTTCTTGTTTGTGCGCCTTCGTTTCGAGAGATGGTGGCGCTTCGCGAACTTCCTGCACCACCGGTCCGACGCTGAAAAGTTCTTTGCACGCGGGTCGTCCGGATACATTTCCACCACGAGCTTTCTCGCGTTGACTCGAGTCCAGGCTGTCGACACTCTGAGTTTCATCTTTCGCCGTTGCAGCAGCAGCGAGTGCAGCTTCTTCTCTGCATCTCCGAACCACCTCCTCTCCCTGCCAGTCTTGAAAACGTCTTTCTTCAAGTCATTGGCCGCGGCTGCAATCAGCTTCTCTGCGTCACCGTTCCACTTGCAGATGTTGGGTTGGGGAATGCCGGTCTTCCTTGCCAGGAACTGCTGGCACGACACGCCTTGAACATGCCAGATCTGTTCGGCGTGATCGGCCTCCAGCTCCCGCGGCTCCGCGACCACCGCAGCCTTCTTCCTGTTGCCGTATTGCGTCCTCTTCTCAGCCCCTCGTGTTTTCTTCCGCTTGGTGCGTTATTCGTCCGACAAAAGGCCGTTATCTGGCAAGTCTGATGTATCATCGCCTTGGGTCCTTGGCTGCAGCTCGAACGGACAGCTCCCTCGCCCGTGGTACATTTTCTGGCCCGCCGCAGTGGTGTGCCCGCCTCCCTCTGAGTGGTAAAATAGACATTAAAACACCTGCGCGAATACCCGTGCCAAGGTGGAGTCGTCATGGTCCCACCCGTCGCGAGGCCGCGCCTGAGCCCTCGTCCAAGATACCGAAGAGGAGCTGGGTGCACGGCACGACAGTGTAGCGATCGACCTTGTTCGGAGGCCAAGGTCTTCGGGCAGAACAGGCACTTCAACTTGGGAGGAGGTGGTGCGATGGGATAGTGGACGCGGGTGACTTCCTCCACGATGCCATTGCGGGTACGCTTGATCTGCGAGAAAATAGCAGCAAAGCGTGGCCCGGGGTACGGGGATTTTAGAGTGCAGCAAAAAATGTTTGTCAACTGTCCCCCCAAGTAATTTACAACAGACACTTTCAACGGCAGCGGCATGTGATTGGCACGCTTCGACAACAGTAGCAAGTGTCGCTGAAAGAAAAGTTAAAAAAAAACACGAGAGCAAAATACGGGCAGTGCCAGGATTCAAAACCGCGCCCTCGAACTCGATGGTGAACCAAAAGAATCCCCCGCAAAACATTTCGTGTTTTGGTTTCTCTGCCGGCCAGATTGGCACACTTCGACACCAGCTGCAAGTGTTGCAGAAAAAAAAGTTGACAACAAACACGAGAGTAAAAAAGAAAGGGCACTGCCAGGATTCGAAACAGCGTCCGCAAACTCGATGGTGAACCAAAAGAATCCTCCGCAGAATATTTTCGTGCTATATTTTCTCTGCCGGCGAACAATGCGGGCGAGGGAGACGAAACAGGTGATGCACCGGACAAACACATGTCATTCACGAACATGGCCAAAGGATGCAAACGGAATTTCCAACCAACTCACCGGCTTGTTCGTTGCTGCGGCCCAGCAGTTGACGATGTTCCCGAGCATCGTGTTCGCCGCCGCCCTCGCTTCCTTGGCCGTGCGCTTGCCCTTTTTCTGTGCGGGCCTATGAGTCTCCACCACCTGCGACCCACCAACCCCTGCTTCACCGCCCGCCGCTGCCGACCGTCGAGCTCCGTCTCGCAAAAGGTCTGCAACTGTTGCATCTAGCTGCTCTCGGTAGTCTTCCGCCGTAAACATGCCGCTGGACAGCAAGTTGGCCATGCGCTCCACATGTGACCAGAACTTGTCATCGATGGGCTTGTTGGCCATCACGTGCTTCTCCTTGATGTAGCCGGCATCAACAAACTTCGGCAACCTCTCGAGGTGCCGATGGATGCGTCTGAAAGCGGCATTGCCTTCCTTGTGCATGAAGAACACGAGTTTTTTTGTGAGCGGTGGCGGCGCTTCTGGGGGGTCCGCCGACGCGGTCTCAAGGAGATCATACCCTCGTGCGGCGGAAGAAGGCCCACGCCCATTGCATGCGCGTGGACACCGTTTCTTATTTCCTGCGGCCAACCTTGGATCATCTGTTTCTCATGTCTAGCAAGTCGAAATTGTGCTGTTTCTTATCAGTCCGTTTCTTCTTATCACTCTCCGTCAAAGTAGCTCAATTTCTCAGGCGCTTTTTCTTAAGCAACCCAAGAATCTGAGCCTCGGTTTCTTACGAGGGTGTTTCTAACGAGTGGGCCGGCACTGTTTAGTAGCTAGTATCCAGTCTTTCACCGATGGGTGAACTGAGCCAGAAGCAGCAAAGAATGAAACCAAGGGTGTACTGGGCTGAACTCGAACCGAAAGACGACCTTCATGGTTGACGACCTACGCTACTAGCACTATTCGTGAGCGAGAGAGAGAGAGAGCGAGAGAGAGTCACACACACAAAGAAGACATTCGTAGTCGAATGCTGCTGTGTGTCCGCACACATCGATTTGATTTTGCATATGGAGCATTTATCTTGACGCGCACGGACTTCTGCGGAGTTCAATCTACACAATGGACGAATTCCATGGAGCCGTGTCTTGCGCGCGCGGATGACTGCTGTAATTGATAGGTAACCTCCAGTAAATCGACTTTTTGTTGTTTTTCGGAAACTCTGGGTTGGGACCGTGTACTGCTGTTACCCCCAGGTAAGATGGAGCCGTATGCATATACAGTATAATAGGTGTCCCGATATAGTGCCGGTTGAATAGTTCCAAAGTCCGGTACAGTGCCGGTGAATTTTCTTGACACAGACACCGGCCTGAATAGTGCCAAACCGACACTATTGAGGGCTGCCCGCTATAGTGCCGGTTCAGGCACTATCGAACCCCTCAATAGTGCCGGTTCACACCCCACACACAGCTTTTTTTCGCCTCAAGCCTTCCACGCCAACAGGGTTCGGAGACGGTTTCCCTTCGAGCTACAAGTATAGCTCGGTTTCTATCGGTACGCGTGACGTCTTCAAATGCCACGGTTTACTGATCGACTAGGTTCCACCAATAGGCTGGGATTTCAGTAAGGATGCGAGCGAAAAAGAACATGGTAGTGACGAAGGATGGATGTGGAAACTATAGCCAAGGATAGCAGTGATGATGCATGAGGAAAATATGGCGTTGAGGGGAACAACAAGAGTTTCGAGCGAGATGACCTTCCTCGCAACAAACGCCGCAGGGGCGCAGAACCTAGAGATGAAAGCCCGAAAAATAGTGGAAAGATATATATATATATATACATACATATATTTTCGTCTTCACTTCATATCGGCGCTCACGGCACTGGTGCCGTTTACTCCACTCCAACCCGTGGTCACACAGAGGAGCCCCTGTCTACCCTCCCCTCCTGCGGTACTTTGCCTTCGATAATTAATGCGAGAAGAGTTCAGCACTTTCTTCCCTCTGTGTACACACGAACTAGCGCTATCCACTAGGCCAGGAACGAAGGCGAGAGAAAAACTCACTTTGCAAGAAAAGCTCGCTTCCGCCAGGATTCGAACCCCTGAGCTGCCCTCTTGAAAGGTTTCGAGGATACCAACTAGACCACCGGGGCGACCGGTTATAGTAAAGAGTGTATTAGTGGTGGTAAATAAAATACTTCTAAGGAAGGATGACAACACTCCGAACAAACGCTTCCTCAAAAATGGTAAACCTTGGCAGTCACGTAGTTCTCCTCTCTCAGTTGCTACCATTTCTATCTTTTATCCAGAGAAAAGGTCAGCCTCCTCCATGACACCCTCTCACTTCCTTGACAACAAATACTTACTGTTTTTGACCGCACTGAGACTGACGACGTCTTTGGTTGGCCAGTCGTTTTTCTTACTTCTGAAGGCTTAGCCTTCTCTCTAGCTTTATATCGAAGGAACAGGGGAGTTCGTTTTCTTCGTCACCCCTTTTTTAGGTTCCATCTGCTTTTTTTGTGTGCTCATGTAAGGAGCACTACATCCATCCATGTTTTACCTCCAAATGTACACCTGTTGCATGCATGAGCATCTTTCTTTCGCTGTCCGGGGAGCCTTTGAGGTTGCCTGAAGAACAATAGTGCTACGGCCTTCTTGCAAAGCGCGGTGAACTTTTATCGGGCAGCACAGTCTACGGTTGAAAGGCAGCAGCAACGTTTCACTAGCGAGAGCTTGCGCTGAGGTGGGAAAGGAACAACTGCTGTGAAACAAATCTATCTGGTCAATCAAATTTGTTTTAATGTGACCAATGCCGTGTTTTTCGACAGTCCAAGAGCCTCACGAAACTTGATGAAGCCCGCCCACGTCGCCCACCTCAGGAATGATCCAAATACCGTTCGTTTGGTACTCTGTCAGCCCCGCAAAGCAAGCAAGCGCTGCACTCTGAAATCGAAACGTCCTGAATAGTGCCAAGCCGGCACTACAGAGGTATTTTCCGGCCCCGATTAGTGCCGTTGGCACTATTCAGGCACATTCTGAATAGTGCCGGTGCCCGGTATAGTGCCGACCAAATCGCCTGGACACATACCGGCACTATATCGGGACACCGACTGTAATGTTGCTGCTGTGCACTGCTGCAGTAAAATTTGAAACGTTAGTCTGGGTGTTGTGACCCAGAGGTCAGCTTGCAGCTTGCTGGAAATTTCAGGTGAAAAAACGACAGACGTGGTCTTGTCAAACCCAAACTTCACCCATTTTGAAACAGGGAGGGAACTCCGTGGATGTCGTTGGGTTCTTGGTTTCGGTGGGAGGTGGCAAGTCTGGGAGCACTATTCTCGTTGCCAAGACCAGCCCAGACTACTGCTGTGCTGTGGGGCTGGATCGATGCGTGGAAACAAAAGCAATAGAATGCTTTTGCTATTGCAAGCGAAAGCAGCGGGAGCACGGCGCGGAGGCCGAGGAAAGCAGAACGGTCACAACGCCGAGCGGCTGACTGGTCAAATCGGACAATCGAACGCACATCAACTCAAATGATTTCCTATTGGAGTGCGAAGGGACAGACAGTCAGCAAACAACAAACCGGAAGGGCGGACCGTCGAAATGCTGCAAAAGGCCGTGAAGCTGCGAGAGCGGAAACTCTCCAATCTAAATCCAAGCGAAAAAATAATGCTGGCCTGTGGTGCGCCGATACAGAACTAGTTGCTGCAACCCGGGCAAAAATGCAACATGAATATTTTCGTAAAAGTATGCAGCAAAGGTCGAAGACAAAAGACGGAAGTATGCAATCCGTCGTACGGCGCGCGGGTTGGTCCATTCAAAACATGCGAAGTATTGTCTGTAACAGAGTGCTCTCTCTCACCTGAGAAGCCAGTTCCGTAAGTCCCAGACCCACCGCAATCAGGTCGCTGAGCTTCGCCGAGCCTCCGCTCGCAGCACCAGGAAGAGCACTGGGTAGGGGTGAGTCCACGAGCGAGGGGCGTACACGCGACGTCAGTAGGAACAACGGACAATCTACAGCGAGCGACCGTGAAACGATGAAGAGCAACAATACAAAAAATCGAGCCAGAGGCTCATGCAGTCTTCTGTATATTGCACATCTCATTCTTGAATATATTTGGCCAACTTAACCTTCGCTTGCTCAAAACGAGACGCAGAAATTATGGAATAACTTAACCTCTGTACTAGTAGGGAAAAATCTCGCGGATAGCACGGTTCAGGCCCTGCGAGAAGCATGAACATGAAACGACAAGAGTAGTTCGGTACAGCTGGTAAGGTACAAGGCGGTGCCTGGAAATCTTGCGTCAATCGAGAACATTACAACGAGAACATCGGGCAGATCTCTGCGACCGCTGGCGACCGCATGGCCACACACGAGCGAAGCGCAGCACGAGCTCTCGGAAGCGTCTAAGGAGATTAAGGCGGCCCAGCAGCAACTGCGTGGGGCCTCAAGAACAGCGTCTTCGAGACGACCCTGAAGGCGATGCTCAAGGCGGCGCGGAAGCAGCGCAGCATCGCGAGGTGGAGAGCACTGGAAACGTTCTTCGAGGGCTATGTACGGCAGCTCGAGAAGAAGAGCGGCGAGGGGGATCAGGCGGGTTTCTACAGGCACCTGAAGATGATCGACGTCGAAGTTAAGAGGTCGTTCACCCCTCAGAACATCAAGGACGAGGACGGCAAGGTCCTTCGGGACCCTACGTTTATTCACCAACGGTGGGTACGGTGGTTCCACAAGCTTCTCAACACCAAGTCGCCGACCATCGACCTGCATACGGATGACAAGGTCAATCGGTGGTCCACGTGCGTGCCACTCGACGACATCCCATCTCTACTTGAGGTTGAGAAAGCGGTACGGGAAATGGCTAACAGAAAGGCCGTCGGACCGGACGACCTACCGGCTGAGCTGATTAAGCTTTCCCTGGACGGAGATCAAGGCCTCCTCCGCGAATTCCACGCCATTGTCGTGGACGTGTGGCAGACGGGGGACGTACCACAGCAGTGGAGGGATGCCATAATCAAAGTGCTGTTCAAGAAGGGGGACACGATGGAGTGCGACAACTACCGGGGCATCTCTCTCGTCGCACACGCCGGCAAGGTGCTGCTTAAGGTCGTCGCTACACGACTGAGCCACTACTGCGAGCGAGAGGGCATCCTCCCGGAGGAGCAGAGCGGTTTCCGCCCACACCGGTCGACGCTCGACATGCTGTTCGCCATCCAGCGGCTCCATGAGCTCGCGAGGAAGAAGAGTACTGCGGTGTTCGCGTGCTTCGTCGACCTCACCAAGGCATACGATTCGGTGGACCGAGACCTACTGTGGGACGTGCTCCGACGCTTCGGCGTGCCCCCGAAGATGCTGGCGGTCATTCGCCACTTCCACGAGGGCATGAGGGCGCGCGTCCGAACGGACGACGGGCAGTACTCGGAATGGTTCGACGTGGGCCAAGGCCTCCGACAGGGATGCAACCTGGCCCCGCTGCTGTTCAACTTGTTCTTTGCCGCGATGCTCATGGTCGCCGTGGCCGAGTTCGACAAGGACCCCAAGGTGACGGCGGATATGATCAAGATCGCAACACGAGTGGAGTGCACGGGCAAGAGGGGCAGGTCGGCGGGGAAGAAGGCGATGATGGTGACGGTCGCAGAGGCCTTGTGGGACATGCTCTACGCTGACGACGCGGCCATCGTCTCGCGCTCGCCGGAGAGTCTCGAGAAGATGATGTCGGTCATCGTGCGCGTGGCCGGCCTGTTCGGACTGATGGTATCGCAGCCAAAGACGGAGATCATGTGCATGCTGCCGAACGGGATCGAGGAACGCCCGTTCACGGTCAGCGCCGCCGGCCAGACGTACAAGCAGACATATCGGTTTGTGTACCTCGGACGTACCATCTGCGCGGATGGGAAGGTCGACCGGGA